CTAGTTCTTTGCCTCCTCCGAGTAGGTGCATGGGGCAGAACTTCCTTGTGAGCAGCTCTTTTGTCCCATGACAGTGGAACATCTTTGATGGTGAAATGGTGCTGGGAGTCAGTAAACATTTGTTTTCTCTCCATCACATTTAGATGGAGTAAAAGCACAGCGTCTTTTTAGTCCTTTTTAAGAAGAACGGTCCCTTGTAACTTGTGGTACCATACTCATCTCAGGTGAGGCAAAACCACTGTTCCACTGACACCAGTCTTCTCTTACACGAAGGCAAGTGAAGGAAAATACCTCAAGGGTCTTGGAATCCATGAGGCTGATGGACATCCAGCAGCTCTCCCAAGAAATCCAAACTCTGGAAAAAACTTTGCAGACCTCATTGGGGTCCACAAAATATGACTTAGGTGAGCAAGGCCTTTTCCAGCAGAACTTCATCTCTCTGAAGGCAAAAGCTGCTTTACAGGCAAATTGTCCTGTGAGCTTCCTGTACACAGCTTCTCAAAGTGGATGGAGAGGGACAGATTTTCTTGGCAAGTAGCTCTTGTGTCCCCACCTGTGAAGACACCTGAACACTGAGATGATGGCAGCAGGTGGTCAAGGTTCCTCTTCATTACCTTGTCTTTGAAAGGAATGTGTAGTGTAGGCTCTCTATGACCCAATATGTGGTAAAGGAGCCCACCTCCACGCCTTAGTATTGTCTTCTTGCTTTCCTCACTTCTCTTGCCCTTAACAAATATTGTTGTCTCCCACAGCCCATAACTGCTGTTTGGAGAGATGGAGGGGGCTGATCCCAACCCTCCATCCTGCCCATCAGGCCTTTTTCAAGCCTTTGGGAGTGCTCATAGGACCTGTGCTGCTTCCCTAGCCCTCCAGCAGTCAATCCATCCAAACCAGTTCTATTGAGCTGGGAGAGTCTTTGTTCTCCTTTTTTCAGAGCCCATGTGCCCCAGAACACTGGGAGTTGGAGACTTCAGGGAAGAAAGGACCACCACGAGTGTGAGAGTCCCAGATGAAATGTAGGGGCTCAGGCCTTGGGCAAGGCCTGCTCCTCTTCCCCCTGGCCCAGCAGTGCTCGATCACTTTGACAGGGTCTCCAGGGGTAACTGGTGCAGTAAAAGTCACCTTTGCTTCCTGGCAAGTCTTTCTCTGTGAAAGCCTTTAGTTTAGGGTCTGGCCATTCCTCTTGCCTCTCTTTCCCATTTGAAAAGGAAAGGGAGGCTGAGTTCATCTCACAGCACATTTTAGTCCTCCTCGGTCATCAGAGGAAGCAAGTTGGAGCCACATGCCCCACGTCTGGAAAACAAAATTATCACACACCCTGATGTTTTCTCTGGGAGTCTTTGATGAAATGAGAGTAGAACTGGTTAAGAGAACGGTGCATGTGTGTGGTGGGGGAGTAGGAGAGCATGGGCGTGGCATCAGCGTGATGAAGGAGAGCGAGCTGGGTGTCATGTTAAGAGATATCCTCAATCCCTCTCTGTTTGATTGTGTTGTCAGCTCCCCAGCAACACTACGAGCCTTGCATCTGACCATACTGTCAGTGTCAGAGTAGGGGAGCATGAGAGTGGCCTCATTGTCACCAAGGGGGGAGAGATGGCCAATTTTGCTTCATTGCCAGAGCAAGCACTTATTTCCTGCTTTTCTCCTTTCCCACAGATCTTCCAGTCCTACAGTCCTACAAAGGTAAGCATAAGTGAGATGAGGAAGTGAGTACTCAAGAGCCTGAGTGCAGCTCTAGAAAACACATCCAACCCCCTCAGATAGCTGTTTGGGAAGAACACACTCAGGGAAGGGTGGTTGGCTGACTTTTTGCTGTTATGTGCTGCCCAAGGCTCTGCCTATGTTCGTCAGAAGCCCTCTCTGCTGTGGGGAGCAGGCACAGCTGGCTTGCAGTGGCCACTGCAGCTCCATGTTCCACTTCTGATTTGGCTCTTGGGCCTCTCAGGAAAAGTGTCTGGAGCTGATCTTGCTCCACAGCAGGAGCAGCTCCTTCTCCTTTCAATCAGAATTGAGCTAGAGGACCTCAGTTTGTGGCACTGCACCTTGCTTGAGTCCTACCAGGGTTCCTCCCATCCCCTGATGCATGTAGAAAGCTGAGGCAAGAAACATTCCCCTATCCTTGTGGCGCTGCAGGCTTCTCTTCTACTCTAATCCATGTGCAAGCAGTATTGTACACTGGTGGTCTCCTGTTATTGAGGAAAAAAGTGCTTAAAACTTGAAAATCCCCTTCAGATTTTGGCAAGGAGTTAATCCAAACCTAATTACAGCTGCTGGCAAGCAAACCTAATTCCATCTGCTGCCAGCTCCTGGTCCTTTCTCTCAGGCTACCCCCTGCCAGCAATGCAGAGATGGAGGCAGAGAAGGTTGAGCAGCACAGCCTCATCCTAGGAGCTGCCTGCTGTAGTCTCAGGAGCACTGGAAGAGTGTCAGGCATTTGGTATATGCTGGCTGCCACTCTCTCTGGCAGAAACGGACATGGCAGGAGGAGAGGGAGAAGCTTGAGATATCCTAAGACAAGAGCCTGCCGAGTGCACCTGAGCATGGAGGGGGGGGAAGGACAAATGGGAGGGGGATGATGGCAGAGAAGGGAAAGGTTCAGAAAAGCAGAGCTTGTGTTTTCTGCTCCTCATGGCCTGACCTGACCATTGCAGGAGATGTCATCCTGGATGCTGACACAGCTCATCCCAGATTGGAAATCTCTGCAGATGGGAGGACAGTAAAAGATACTGGTGTCATCGGATTCATGCTCAGAAATCAGAAGAGATTTGATTCCCATCTGTTTGTGTTGGCAAAGGAAGGATACACTTCTGGGAAACACTATTGGGAAGTAAATGTTGGGACAAGAAGAAACTGGGCCTTGGGTATTGCCTCTGAATCTGTGGCTCGCAAAGGGACTTTGACTCTGTGTCCTGAGAATGGCTTCTGGGTTATCGCATGTGTAGATGGGCAAGATTATTTGGCCTGCACGAATCCTTGGACCTCTCTGACTGTGACTGGCTATTTGTCAAAGATTGGGATCTTCTTGGACATCCCAGCCAAGAAGGTTTCTTTTTATGATGTATGTAAGGCAGTAGCTTTGTACACTTTGAGCATTGCTGATGGCAGCAGACAGGAAGGCAAATTCCTTCCCTTCTTCTCTGCAGGCCTTGCTGCTGCTGAGCCTGACACTGAACCACTAACAATACTGCAGTTTTCTGATGATGATGATGATTAGTTTACTCTGCATTTCAAAGGTCAATACTGTGATTGAATCACATTGTAATCAGGTTGCTGATTTGTGTCTTCTGAACAAAAGTATTGAATTAGAGGACAAATCTGGCATAGCAGTCAGCTTTCTAAATCATGCATCAGAATGAAAAGTTTTTTGAAGGAAATTTTATTTTGTCAAGGGAAATAAATTTTCTTTTGTGATAGTATGAAAAAAGCACTTGTGTAATGTGAATTTTCCTGAAAAATTACTATCTTGTTTTTTTTTTTTTTTTTTAATCTCATGCAATTTTGGGGTTTTTTGTTTGTTTTGTGTCACTGACCCTCCCCCTCAATCCCCCAGACTTTGGGATCATCAGGATGAGTGAGAGCCAGACCAGAATTTCCAGTGAGAGCTGGGGGCAGAGTGAGGGGCTAGCTTTTTTGGCTGGCTGGTCAGCTGGTTTCTCTGACTATAGATGCTGTTGTTCTGTGGGTTTGGCCTGGTTTTTTTTGTTTCTTTTCCTTCCTCTGTTTTTTCTGGATCAATATTAGTGTATATCCTGGAAGTTGCCCCTATGCATTCTGCAGATACAGTTAGAGTCTCATGAGTTTCTTATTTCACCTCATAAAGTTTAGAACAATTGATTTGCTTTGGCATTGCATGTTTAAAGCCAAATAATATCCATTTTTTATATTGTCCCAGGAAATTCTTCCTTTCCTTGGTATTGGGGTCCCAAAGGGAGTCTAGGGAGGGAAAGTGCTCTTCAGCAGTTCCTGGTAGCCTGCCCTCTGTGTCTGTAATGCTCACCTCCTTCCTAGTAGTGTGTAGTACCATCTCTTTTTCTGTAGAATCGACTAGATTATCTAGCAGAACCTGTATGTCCAGTCAGTTTGGGTCCTGAGAACGGTTTCAAATATTTTAGGTAGTCTCTCCAGATATTCTCTGTAAAGAAGAGGTGAGGCATCTCACCCATGCCTCAAGATCAATTGGAAGAGAAAGGTACTTTTACCATTACCAGGCCATGAGAAACTTTCTGTTTACCTCAGATTCACCCCAACACTGGCTGCTCCTTTTGCAGTTTCAGATGGTTTTCCAAATAAAAGAATACATCCACATAAGGCAATTAATTCAATTTCCCTCTCTCCTTCCCTAAACTAAGGTACTATTCTCTGGCCTCTTAGTCTGGTAGTTTAACTGGTATACTGGCCACTACTGATGACAATATTGGATTAGTCTAGGTTTACTTGGTGGGTCTCCTCCAATCTGTTTCTAGTTTTTCAATATACATTTCAATGGAGAATTGAAATCTCCCACTTTGGTTTTAGAAGAAACTGACCCCATATTCAATAATTACAAATATACAAGCTATTAACTCTGAAAATTATAATGGTATTTCCGGGTTTGTAACAGAAGGGGGAGTGGGGAAGAGAAGGAAGACTGCTGCATCGGCAATCACTAAAACTGACACAAGAGGGTGCCTTAAGTCCACAAATGCGATCTCAGCCATGCGCACAAAACTAAAGCAACTCCAAAACCCCAGCAAACACTCAATCATGCTCCAACACCATCTCAGCAAATTAACTTTTATATCACGGGCATCCGCATGTTGATATGCTGCAAAACTCAAATCAACGCAACACTCTCACATGAACACACTCTTAGAGTTCAAGAAGAATGCAAAGAATGCAAAGAAATTAACCAAACTGCACCACAGAAGTGGCTCCAGATGAGGCCAGGGCTGGGTTTCAATTGTAAATTGAGACTGGTTTTTTTTTGTTTCTTCTTCATTCCTCCACTCAAGTCAAAATGGTGGTAGCCTGTGCAACAAAACAGTGGAACAATGATTTTACTTGAGTTTAGCTTGATACAATGATTCCTGATACCTCCTGGGGACAACCTCTAATGCCTTCAAGGGGAGTTGAAACCCTAATACTTCTTGACGACTTGAACTCTGGACAGGGAAACTCTGACCCCCTGAGGTCGGCAACTCAACTCTCCCCACAATAAGCTTAGCCAGACACTCAAACCCCCCTTACCAGTAACTTTGTCTGGGGATCTTCTGGCTGGCTCTCCAAAATATTGGAATAAGACTCCTTAACAGTAATTTTGTTTAAAGAGGGCATAATTTATTCAGTCCTGAGATTGCATGAAGGATACCTCTAACCATACATGCACAGATTATTTTACAAGTGAGTGTGCATTACAATTTACCCATTACCATAAAACCCACCCAAGTTCCCAGATTCAATCTTTGTTTTGTCTATTACTACATTCTTGAGCCATATGTCTTCTTATCTTCGAACTGTCCTTGCTGGGAAAGCAATTTTGCATGCCTAGTTTCTCTGCTGAAAGTTCACAGGCACAGTTAAAATGAAATTAACCCTTTCGGTATCACATAGGATGGCAGTCTCTCTCCAGCTTCTTTCCCTGAATACTTCCATTCCTGCAGAACCACCCTGATAATGGACCTCTGTGTGTTGCACATGGTGGCTGTCACCTTGACATGGCCAACACTCACCTGAATGGGCTCCTGGCAGGGTCCAGGGTGACATGAAGGCCCTCAGTTGTCCTGTTGGTTAGCAGGGCAGTCCCCCTCTGGGACATATGGGTGAAGGTGTCCTCCAACCTGCCCAGGTGAGCTTTGAGCAGGATCAGCTCCAGGCCCAGCTCCATGGGAAACAGGTTGTAGTCCAGGGGGTTGAAGAAGACCATGGTGAAGCTTGTGGCCTCATAGACCAGGACTCTCACAGAGCCACAAAATTGGGGTCTGGAGAACTGGCAGGCGCTGGAGGAGGTAGGGGCATGGGAGGGCTGGAGGGGCTGTGGCCACTGTAAAAGTAGGTCCTGGGGAGGAGAAATGGAGGGGTGGGATCTGGGGAGGATGGTGAGACTGCTAGAAGATTGTGGTGGAACAAGTGGTAGGTGGTGGACTAGTAGGAGACAGTCTCCCCACCACTGGGAGGTGCTGGAACCAATGGGAGATAATGGTGGGACTACTGAGAGATGGTGGGAGCATTGGGAGACCAGCAGGAGATGGACCAAACCCTGGGAGATGTTGTCACCATGAAATAGTGACCACATCCAAACCTCCTTCCCTGCACCCCCAGGGGTCCTCTCTGCCTTCCCCTCACCTGGGGTTCTCCAAGGTGACATTCTGGGTGGTGTTAGATAGCTGGATCTCCACAGTCTGCTCCAAGAATTCCCACATCCTGCACAGGATTCTCTGCTCCACAGGGTCAGAATCTACTCCAATCTGTGGTTTCCTCAGAAAAACCTCAGAGTTTCCTTATCCCTCTCTACAACTCCCTGAAAGGTCGTTGAAGTCAGATGGGGGCTGGTCTCTTCCCCCAGGGAACCACTGACAGAACAAGAGGACACAGTCCTAAGCTGCACCAAGGGAAGTTTAGGTTAAATGTCAGGGATTGGTCTGTTGAGATTGTCTGGTCCTGCAGCCCCACCCAGGAGTGCTGCCTTTGCCATTCCTGATTCTGACAACTGCTGCAAAGAACTCATTTGCAGGGCTAAATCCTTTTCAGCATGATAAATTGTATTCCACGCCCCACCCCCTTGTCACCCCCCACCACATAATTACTTTGCAACCTCACTTTTTCCTTTTTAATATAACTAAGCCAAATGAGATAAAGCAAGGAGTAGGTTTCTGTGCACCAGGTAAAATTCACAGCTTTTGAAAAGCTCCTATGGTGCAGAATGTTAATTGTAACCTGGGACTAGAGCTAGAAATAGTAAATCTTTAATAACCTCATGTGCTGCTGCTGGGAAAGGGGGGAAGATTGAACGATCTGTTCCCCTAAGCAGACCACTGTGATGTCCCTTGATCTCAGTTTCAGTGATGGCACAAAACTTGGAATTAAAAAAAAACAACCCTAAAAGTAGTCCAAGGCACACATATATAAACAAGGGCTGTCTCCAGATTTCTCCACTGTTCAAGAAAAATTTGAGTTTTCATGGTGACACATGTGATAGGGCAGGAGTCATGGATAATTCCAGGAAGGGGTGGGAGAGCTCAGCTGGGGAAAGGAGACTGTTCAAGGAGTGGTCCCACAGCTGGATTTCCTCCTCTTCTGTTTTTTCTGAGGCTTATCTTGTTTGCATGCACAGAGACAAAAATCCATTTTTAGCTTCTCCCTTGTATTCCTTTCCCCTGTATAATTTTACTGTGTATTTAAGGGAGTATCTGCAAATCCAGCACCAGACCAGAACTCCTTTGCAGCAGGCAAGCACAAAGTGAAAACATGTTGTCTGCCCTAAAAAGTTTTGCAAGGTTATATTTTTGTAAAAATAAATCCATTTCCCTCAACTTTGTTTTTTATTCTCAGGTGGTAAATTAATCTATTCTGCTGTTTAGCTGTGAGTTAAATGCTAGAGTAATTTGAAGAGTATGAAAGAGGGTTAAAAATGTAACAATCTTCTAAAAACTTACAATAAACAGGTTTAATGACACAGCAGAACAATTCAGAATCAAGTGATATATGGCAGAGGTAAGAGATCTGATGCATGGCTCCAGTACAAGGGGGCAGAATGTCAACATCATTTGCAGGTAATTGTTTTTGTACATGGCTGGCATAAAATCTGCAGCAATCCAGCATTTCAACATGCTCCTCAGTACAAATAGGCAGCAAAAGCAGATACTTTAATATTCAACCAGCAGCATTTCTACTGTACCTAATTAATTTATATAAAAGATCTATCTCCTGGAGAGAGAGAGCACGAAACCCACTGTAAAGTTGTTACAGGCACGGATGTGCAATTTTTCTGATTTTCAAAGTGTGAGTTTATTGCTGGGTTAGACACACCAAGGTAGGGCAGGTAATTCAAAACTGGCTCAGGAGGTAAGGCAAGGTATGGTGGACTCCAAATAGTTTTAGTTCTCTGACACAGTTTCTGTTGGGAATTTAGCTGCTAGAAAATGGAAAAGTACAAAAC